TCATGGCCCTCAATTTTTAAAAGTCTCTTATCTTCTAAAGTAATCCATTCTTTAATCCATACTAAATCATGTCCAGCCTCGACCAGGATTTATGTCTGTTAGGGAAAAAAAGTGTAGTCTTTTGTGTTGATATTCCTGATCCTCCACGCATCAATAAGCTTAAACTCTTCTACAATTTTCATAAAGGATTTTGGAAGTTCATTTCCATATTTCATTTTTGCGTTAGTGGATTTTCTATCTATTATGTTGCGAAGACTGCGTTGAAATCTCCCACGACGTACAACTCATATGTTTGCTATTAATGATACTTTATTCTGTCTATGAATTTGAACTATTACTATCCTACCATCTTCTGAGTTGAATTTTAGTTCAGGATGTAAGTTTTCCTAGGCATAAATGACTACTCCTTTCTTCTTCTTCTTGTCATCTGCTGCTATATAAAATTACCTACTTTGTTGATATAGTCCCAGATACTTTACTTGTAGCACCAGACACAAAAAAGGAGAGAGAGAAAGAAAATATATTTCTAAATCACTGAAGTCCAAAAAGGTCCAAAAACAACTAAGACCAGTTCTCTCCAATTTTATATTCCACAAAAGAAATTATTACAGTCTCAGACAAAAGCCTTCCCTTTACTTTTTTGCCCAGGAAGTCACTTGAAAAACACTTGAAGCTCTTTTCATAGCCACCGCAGAAGGAATGGGGGTGAGACCGGAAAGAGTTCTTCACCCCTCCATTCCTTTGTCTTTTTAAACTTTAAAGGGGCTTTTTGATAGGTAGATATCTGTTATTGTTGCTTTTAAGTGTACTCACAGTGATTCTTCATCGATGATATGGATGAGGTCCAATTTCTTCCCCTTTCCTGGGTAGTCACAGCTGTGCGCCCATGTCTGACATGGGCGTTCTTGGTCAGCTCCTGCGTCGAGGCAGCTCTCGGACTTCCACCTGCTTGCTGCTGCTCGCAGGTGGGTCCAAGTCAAGCCCCCTGCAATGAGCTCCTCTTATGGGCTCCTCTTCGGGAACCCCCGAAACCCTCTAGAGGAGCCGCCGATCTGGCCGTCACATGGGAGCTTGCCCCGGTGTGACAGTTCTAGCTGTGCCAAAACCCCACCTTCCCGTGGTTTGTTAAAATTACCAGTATGCCAGACAGCCACTTTGTGAGCCAAAAGAGAAAAAGAATCTGACTGTTTTTATTTATTTATTATTTCGATTGCTATCCCGCCCTTCCTGGAAGCGGGCTCAGGGCGACTCACATCAACCAACAGAACACAATCTTAAAAATAAGCCAAGAGTTAATAAATAACAGTATAAAACAATACAATAAAACAATTTAGAACATTTAAAGTGGGCAGTGCAATATAGTCGTTCAATTCTTGCAGCCGGAGTAAATTGTCCGGTGCCAAGCCATAATGATCTTGTGCAAAAGCAGCAGCAATTAATGATTTTAATGTATTGTAATTGTGTTGTAATGAGTCTTTGACTCTGTTTGGTATAATCTGCCCTGAGCCCGCTTGGGGAGGGCGGAATAAAAATCCAATAAATAAGTAAAATAAGCCTATGCCCTCATCTTCTGAAAGAGAAGTCAAACTGACTTACGTGGAGCTCCTGCTAGTCCTTCGGCAGCTTCTACAGACAGTGTGACTCTAGAAGTGCCAGATTTCCAAGCCCTCTGTGAGCAAAAGTTTCCCTTGAAGGTTTTCAAGTCAATCAGCAAGTAGAGGAGAGAAGGGACAATTCTGTCAATGATGCCATTACAGGCAGATGCCTCCAGGTCTTTGCTCCATCCTGGAGAATGTCCACTCAAGACAGGTGGGTGCAGAACACCATCTGTTAGGGGTACACAGTAGAATGCCATCAGAGGCACTCCTCCACAGGAGAGATTCCTGCCACCTCCCATGTCAGTGTGCAGCCAAAAACACAGGTTCATGATACAAGCCATAAAGCACCTCTTGAAAATTCAGGCAACCAAGTCTGTTCCAGGGATGTATAGATTTTCTGGAGCGTACTCTATCATGTTTGTCCTGCCCAAGGGAAATGGAGAATGAAAAGCTATAGTTACCTTAAAATGCCTCAGCAAGTGGGCCCGCAAAAGGCACTTCCGCAAGAAGACCACGCATTCCATTAGTAGGGGCCCTTCAACAAAGAGGTTTACTGGCATCAGTGGATCTCAAGAAGGCGTACCCACCCCTACCCAGCCTCCAGGAAGTTCCTTCACTTTGCCCATTGAAACCATCATTTCCAGTGTTCCCATTCAGCCTTTTGTCTTCCTCCTGAGTTTCCACCAAGTTGACGATGGTCCTAGTTCTTCACCTCAGGTTGAAGGAAATGCATCTGGATTATCATATCACTGCCCAAGGGATCAGGGGTGTGCGTGTGATGTTGGATACTCTAGCAAAGCAAGGGTTCCTAATGAGCTTGCTGACTCCATCACAATCCATCGCCCATTTGGGCACATAGATGCAAGCATTTGCAGGGTCTCTGTACTGAATTTCCAGCACCCAAGTGGCACTGATCCCCCTCATACAAGTCAGTTCTGCCAACTTAATCCAATTGCCGGGACTCGTGATTGCCTGCATCAAGATAGTACTGTGGGCCAGTCTGCATTTCTTCTGCTGCAGTGGCTCCTTTTCCCTCTCTTGGATGGCATCCTTCAGTACAGCCAACTAGCAATCCCCTCCAAAAGAGGTTCCATACCTCCTTTCTGTACTGGACACCAAGGAACAAAAAGTTCTTCATACAAGTTGTTTCTGGATTTCCACTGGTTGGAAATAATCAGAGGCAAGGCTGCAGGGCTGGGGAGTCCATTGCCAACATCAAATAGCTCAGGTCAAGTGGAACAGCTCCAAAACCAGATACAGCATAAATCAGTTGGAGCACAAAACCTTCTAACTGGCACTACTAGCTTTTCAGTCCCAGATAGACGGAACTCTTTGGCTAGACCTCGCTGACAACATGACAATCAAGGCCTATGTCAGTTGGCAAGGAGGGATCAGATCCCTCTCTCTGCTGAAGGAAGCCTTTCTCTTCACACCAAGGGGCAAGAGACCCACGTGGCCTCCCTACAAGCCCAGCACCTCCAAGGGACCTGCAACTTAGACTGTCCCAGGTGCCACAGTGTCGGGCCCCAGACAAGTGGGCTCTGAACTCCAGAGTTCTCCACTCCAGACACTGTGGTCCTGGACCTCTCTGCCTCTCCAGCTGGTCACGAGGTACCCAGATTCCTCTTCAGATTCTGGACTCAGAAGGGTAGGACATACTCACAGCTCGGTGGCCTCAGTGACTGCTCTATGCATTCCTTCAACGAGGGCCTTAAACAGGGTTTGCATGGAGGGGGTAGAAGTAATTTTTATCACCCCTGTACTGACCAAGATGACCATGGTTTTTGGACTTGGTCACAATGTCAGCCAGACCTCCTGGGAACATCCCTGCTGCTCACAATATTCTCTTTCAGGGCACTGTCCTACATCCTGGCCCAGCCTGGCTTGGGCCTTCCACATGAAGGATGAAAGTTGGGCCTTGGAGCAGCATAGATACTCCCAAGGTCATAGTCGTCTTGCTGGCATCCTGCATTCAGCAGGTGGAGCAGTAGAAAGAAAGTTAGCTCCACATCAGTGGGAATCGGGGAGGTGCTTCAGTTCCTCCACAAAGGCTTTTCCCAGGGACTTTGCCCCAACACTCTCAGATGACAAATAGCAGCTCTGTCTTCAGTGCTCAACCCAGAGAACAAGGGCACTTGCTCATTACATTACATCAAAAGATTCCTAAAAGAGGTGGCTCTCCTAAGCCGCCCCTCATGAAGAAGTCTTTGGGGCATTAACCAGGTTCTATTTGAACCTCCCAAATCAGTACCTCTCCGTATTTTATTGAAGGTAGCCTTCCTGGTTGCCTTTGCATCAGCAAGACAAATCTTGGAACTTTTCACTCTTTCTGTAAGCCACAAAGGTAGATCCAGTTGTTCAGCTGTGTTGGTCTGTAAGCTGCAAGTTATGCTGCTTCTAAAAGGACTCAGTGATCCTTAGGATGAATCCCTCCTTCGTACCAAACATCCCTTCACAATACCATCTGCTATACCACAAGGAGAAGAAATGGCACAGACTGGATGTGCAGAGGGCACTTATGACTCACCCAATGTGGACAGAGTCCTTCCAAACTATAGAATCTGTTCGCCTTCTTTGACCCAGTTTCCAGAGGGACAAAGGTATCCCAAGTACACCCCTGCTAGGTGGATCAAAGCCTGCATCTTAGCCTATGAGGCCCAGCACTTCCCTGCTTCAGGGGCAGTCACGGTGCACCAGCCACCTCATCTGACTTTTCTACCAGTGCTTCTGTTGCAGAAATCTGCAAGGCAGCAACCTGGACATCAGCCTCTACTTTTCGAGGGCACTATAGGCCCTCGCAATGGACACCGACAGGTCTGCAGATGGAGCCTTTGATAGGAGAGATTTCCAGCAAGTTGTCCCCCAGTCATTCCTCCAGTACTTCATCAACTACCCACCTGGGATGACAAAGCTTTTCATCCCATTTCAGGATACTTTCCTTCACAGATGAAGAATGAACCATTGGACTTGCCATGAGGGTTTCTTCTCATCGGTGGAAGAAGGAGTTCTGGAATGGGAACTTGCTAGCCTTTCAAGGGACCCCGTTTTCCTCACAAATACAAGGGTCGAGGCTTGACAACTGGCTTGAGGCTTACCAACTGGGGCTCACCCCCCAGCTGGATGTGGAAGCACTGCAAAAAGCACAAACTATTTGCATAGCCCTGCTTGCGGAATGAGTAGAGGTTGTGACCCATTTCAGGACACCTCCCATTCCACTGATGAGAGGAAACCCTCACGGTAAGTCCGGTGTTCCAGTCTTCATTAAAATCAGTACTTGGATTTATAGACCATCAGATTTGTTCTGCAAGTTGCCGTTGTTCATGTTGGTGCATCTCATGTTTGATTTCCTGAGTGTAAATAGTTTGTTAACAAGTTGACAGTTGATACATTCAATAATTCTAGGAATGGAATAGAAGAAACTTTGGAAGAACCTTTTCATGAGCCAGAGCCAGAATTAGAATCTGAATCAAAAACTGAAGAACTGAAATCTGAAGTAGAAGAAAAAAATATTGAAGAGCTAGAAGAAACATCACCATCCCCATCTCCTGTAGAAACCGTTTCTCTACCACAAGAAGCACCAAAGGTTGGTTTAGGATGCTTTGTATAACTAGATAGCTAACCAGTTTAAAGGTGGTTAATCATCCTTAGATAACTATAGCTACAATAGAAATGTTGGACTATAATTTGTATAGAACCAAGCGGGAAATCTGCAAGGACTTAACAGCAGTCACTTCATTTCCCCCTGTATCCACTTCCCTACCTTATTTCTTCCGTCTGTCCTCCTGGGTGTCCCAATATCTTCTCCCCTGTTTCCCTCTCTCCACTCCACAACCAGCCTTTCTTTTATCTGCCCCCCCTCCCCCATTTTCAGCTTTATTTATTAACTTCATTTATACCCCAGCTTTCTCTCCAGTGGGGATCCAATGCAGTTTACATCATTCTCCTATCCTTCATTTTATCCTCAGAACAATCCTGTTGTTAGGTCAGGCTGAAAGTGTGTGACTGGCCCAAAGTCACCCGGCAAGCTTCCATGCAGCGTGGGGATTTGAACATCAGTCTCCACACCCTAAACTGATGGTCTAGCCACCACTGGCTCTCTGGTTTCCCTCCTCCCCTCCCCTCACAGCCTGTCCTTGGGAAAAGTCTGGCCAAGTTGTAAAAGTCATGCACTAGCAAGTTGTTCAGGTGAATTGTGTTGGTGGCCACCGCAAGGCCTGGCCAAGTAGTGCAAGTTGCGCAGAGGCTGCTTCTGGGGCCAGGCAGATTGTGTAGTATTACATTTTCTGGTACCCACCATCCTACCACGGTGAATTGTGCAAACTGCATGGTGGTAGGCTGCTGGCGGTCGCTGCTGGACCTGTCCCCGGTAAGTTCTCCCTCCAAGGCAGGAGGGAGGGGAGCAGAGAGGTGGAGTGGGAGACCAAAACAGCCCTTCAAAGGGCCCTCCCCTCTACCTTTCACTGACAAAAACTGATTTGAAGGCTGTCAAATATTGTGGTTACCTATCAACCCTCACACTGGCCACCGAGATCTGAAGGCGTTCATTTTTTAAAGGTACAGGCACTTCTGTTACTGAAGACTTTTAAACACCCCCCCTCCCCTTTAAGATTAAACCTGAGGCCTTTTGCAGCTTTATATAAAGACCTGTGTTGTCCATGGCTTAAATCTCTGAAGTTAAGTATTCTCAGATGGGGCTATGGTGAGAATTTGATATATCGATGTCCTAAATTGTATGCCAAAGGATTAGTGCTTTAGGTGTGGCACTGAGGGAACTAAATGTGTAGAGTAGTGTTTGAGCTTCTAAATCCACCAACAGTGTTTAATAGCAGCCTGTCACGAAATGTGGACTAGCGCCCTGTAGGCGGGAAATCCTATCTCAAAATATTGTGTCCCATATGAGAGGTTGTTATTAATTGGGGGACTGAAAACCAATTTTGCTTTTACTATGATGCCATTACTCTGTCATTTTCCAGTCTCTGACTGAGGAAGCAGTAATGTCCCCAGCCTCTGAGTGCAGAGGAGCAGGCGACGTGGTTGGCTGCAGGATCATGTGAGCCACCTTGATTGAGGGGGTTAGCGTCAGATCAGGATCTGGAGGACCCAGGTGGGAGTCTTCACTCTGCTGTAGATGCTTGCTGGGTGACCTGGGGCCACTCACACCCTCTCAGCCTCACCTGCCTCACAGGACGTGGTTGTGGGGATGGAGTAGAGGTGGGGGAAATGATGCTATGAATTCCTTTGGAGCCCCACTAGTGAGAAAAGCAGGGTATAAATAACTAAATAAGTAAATTAGCCGTCGTCAAGCAGTGCTGTAGCCAGAGTTCCCTCAACTAGAGTTTAGAATCCCGGGTTCAAGCTGGTTAGCAAACCCTGGTTATGAGCAGACAAGTGAGTCTTACTCAGGGTGGTGATTGATGTAGCTGTCTTCCACCGCTGAGAGGAAGAGTCAGGGCAGGTTGGAGAGAGGGTGCAGATAGCCTGGTGTATCCAGTTTCTTGACCAAGGTGTGAATTTGGGAATGTCAGGTCTGCAGTAGCCTGAGAAGATTGATAAGACATGGTCAAAGTTTGCTCTCCCGTGACTGTCAACTCTTTGACAATGGTAGTTTGGGGGCTACTGAGGAAGTTACTCAGGCAAGTAACTGGATCTTTGTTCTTTTAAAGTGCTTGGACAACTAAAACTGTAATCTCTGTTGTGGTGGCAATGTACTGTGATTCTTTTTAATCCTGATGTTGTCTTGTTTGTTGGTCAGGTTTTCCGTTAAAATATGTGAGTGGCTTGCCATAATTAGTAGCAAAGGTTTGTTGCATTTCCTGCAGGCTTTCTCCTGGGCTTCAGTGACCAGTAAAAACCTGCCTCCTAGTGGTACTGTTTCTTCCTCTGGAATTCCACCCCATGTTAAAGCACCTGGCTCACAGGTAATCAATCTGTGAACATCTTGGTTTGTCTCTTTGTTTACTTATGCAAGCTGCTTCATGAACAAAACAAGTTGTGATTGCTTGAATAATACACATTTGCTGCCTAAAATGTTCATGTGTTGAATTAAGCTGGAGTAGAAGACTGAATCCTTATCAACTGTATTCATTTTGTTAGATTCAGGTGGGGTAGCCATGTGGGTCTGAGGCAGCAGAACAAAGGACCCAGAATAAAACTTGGTTGGTCTTAAAGGTGCCTGGCTGGACTCAGACTATGTTCATTTTGTTAATAATTTATAAAAAGTCGAATGCAAAGCACAGTTATGGATTCCTTTTTGAAGTAGCATCATTTGTATACTTGATTTCTAAAACAGTTAATTTAGAGATCTCTGACTACATGTGCAGAACCCTGTACCAACTTAGGACTGTGAGTAGGTTGCTGCTTTTGCCAGTGGTCCCTTCCGTTTCTACAGTGTTTTGTTCTGTAAGAAGCAGGCAGGGAGGAGAAGAGATCCTTCATAGACTGCCGTGGTAAGACATTGAGGAACAATTTTCTTAATGCAGTAAGCCTCTTATCCTGTATGTCCCCCTGTCCTCTGCTAGTGCTCAGTATGCAGGACCCAAAGTTCCCAGGACAGCACTGCTCCAAAAATGTACATAACAGATTCTGTGGCAGATTCATTGCTGCTCTTAACTCATTTCCGCAGCACTTTGTCTTAGGGCCACAACTTTCTGCACGAAAAAGATAGTTCTAATAGCTTATTTTCAGGGGTAGTTCTGCTGTTTTACAAATGGCATTTAGGTGGGTCTTTTTTATACTCTACTCATAGGAGTGTTTGGATTTCTGAGCTGTGGTTGAGCCGTGGCCTTCTTATGAAATGAAATCTAGGCAAGAGCAGCCTTGCAAATAAGTCCTCAGAGTACTAGTTCACGTTTCTACTACTTTACCAAGCGCATATATGCTGAACACACAACAAGCCTTTGGTGTGTGTAGAGGCATTTTCCCTCAAGCCCAAGAGAACAGCTGTTGGCTTGTCCCTACACACTTAAGACCTTGAGTTCAGGTTCCAAGTCTGACCCTTCAGTGATATTAATTTGGTGCCCTAGCTGTGATGTTTTTGTGAGGTTCTTTGCTAATAAAATCTCTCTCATCCATTCCAACTTGGAGGCCAAATTGAGAGTAGATCAGCTACCTGAGGTGTCAGGAACCACCCGCTTGTCTTTTTAGTTATTTATTTATTTCGATTTGTATCCCGCCTTGCCAAGGCAAACTGGCTCAAGCTGGTTATGGAGAGATTCAGGTTGATTCTCCCCCCCCCCCCCAGTGGGTGCTGACAGGGTCCTTTTGCATTCCCAAGAGCCTTGTCAGCAGGATCAGTGGAGCCACCCCTTGAGCTCTTGAGCCACACGCCTGCCCTGGCTCTTACAGCCATGCTGGAAAGGGTGTGGGAGTCACTGGTCAAGACCATGAGTGCTTTGCCGACTGAGGTCTCTGTAGACCTTTTGAAGGAAGCAAGTATTACACCTCTTGGTAGAGAGCATCCATTGGCTAAGGATGGGGTGGCCAGTTACAGGCCATTCTCGAATTTACTTTTCTGGGCAACGGTGAGAGGCTGTGTGGTGTGCTGGAGCAGTCCCAGGGTTTCTAGGACGCCACCTCTGTCCTTGGCTCATTTCAGTCTGGCTTCAGGCCTGGATATGGAGTCAACGTGGCTTTGGTTGCAGTGACAAGGCAATCTCTGTTTAAAGCTGGACAGTCGTCCTTGTTGATACTGTTAGCTCTATCAGCAGCCTTTGGCACAGTTGACAGCTCCATTGTTACCCACTGGTGAGCATGTGGAGTTGGCTCTTCAGAGGTTTTGTTCCTTCTGATGAGAGTTCCCACCCAAGAAGCAGAAGCGGTGGGTTGGAATTTGTCCTGTGGAGGGTTCTGTTCTCTCACCCCTGCTTTTCAGTATTTAAATGAGGTTGTGAAATCAGTGTATCAGGAGTTTCAGGGTTGGGTATCATCAATATACAGATGACACCCAATGCCACGTTTCATTGTCTAAGCCTCCGAATGCCTCCGTCTTGGCTCTGAAACACAGCCTGGTGGCTAAGAAAGAACAAGCGAAAGCTGAATCCAGGCATGACAGAGGAGATGCTGCTCAGGAAAGCCGTGGTCCTCAGGCTGCCGTTTACTGGCCATTCCCCCACTCAAGGCAGCCCACCTGGCATCGTCCGGTCCCTCCTGCTTGTCTGCTGTTGCTCCTGCCCTGTCAAGCAAGCTCCTTGAGGAGGGAACAGGGAACTCTGCTGCTGCTGCTGCTGCTGCTGGAAAACTTCAGGCAGCACTGCAAAGCCGTTTTGTTGCCCGGGCTTTCATGGGGCGTGGACTGCAAGCCATTTATAGGGGAGTTATTTGGGGATTTATTTGGTATGTTTTTAATTGTGCTGTTTTAAAGTGTAACTCTTAAGCCACCTAGTGCCATGAGGAAAGGTGGGAAATACTTAGATAAATAAAATACTATTGCTTTTTCAGAACTAAGCTCTGGGCTTCAGGTGATATTGAGGCATTCTAACCAGGCATTGTAAAATGGGATCAAACATTCCTTAACTATTGTCTTCTAAACGTCAAAACACAGGAGAAGAAAACTTGTCTCTTTTTCTAGGACTACAGGATTTTCGTCAGGGCAGTAGTGCCATTTTTGGGCAAGGTGTGGGGGGGGAGAGATCCTTTTATCCAGTTTGCAAAGGCAAGCTCCAGTTTCAAGCTGGAGACTGTGAACCTTATTCCACACTGCTCAGGCTTTTCCATTCATTGTGGGAAGCAGGTTCCAGCTGGGCTGAGAGAGTGAAGCAAGAGAGCCAGAGGTGAGCACTCTGGATAGCCCCCACCTGGGGCCCTTGTCCTGGCAAGCAGGTGCAGCTGAGGAAAGCTTGTAGACTTTTTCAGGCTAGACTGCATGTCCATCTCTTTCCTTGCAGAGTTCACCACTTTTGTGTGGACTTAGCAAAGGTTGAGGGGGGGGGGTAACTGTCTCAATCATAGCTTCCTGCTTCCCACCCAGGCCCAAAAAAGGAAAGCTGCTCTCCAGGATCTTCTTGGCCAGAGCCCTCATTCCTGGGAGGCTGCAGGGCTAGTGCCTCTGGTGGGAGTTAAGTCCTTGGCACATGAGGAGAAGAGCACGGTGCTCTCCAACATGGGGAGAAGAGCACCCGTACCGCTTTGCTTGAATTTATTTAGAGCGCTTCCATAATTACCTAATTTTTCATTGATCAAGTAGAAATGGTGAGGTTTGTGCCAGTGGTCTCTGCCTTTTCCAGAATGGTTCCCAACCTACAACTCCACATTCCTTCATACGGTTACCCATCCAGGGCCGGCCCCCACAGTCTTTGGGTGTCCTATAGGCAAATGATGACCTTGGCACCCATCTGTTTGAGGCACCAACAGATACCGTACAAGGGGTGCAGTTGCCCCCAGTATGAACCCCAAGCAAGTGGGAGTTCATCTCCTCCCGTCCCCCTGCCAGGTGAGCCAGAGCTGGAGTGTGTGTGTTGGGCTGAGACCCATGAAGATGCGGGCAGCAGGAGGCCTGGTGCAGTCCGTCTCTCGCAGCCGTTGGAGAGCAGGGAGGCATTGCAGGGGGCTGGGCAGGAGGGGCTGGCTGCTGAAGGAGCTGCACCAAGACCAAAGCCCCCCTGCGTCTGGCTTTCCCATGGCATGCTGAGCAGTTCCCCCCCCCTCTCCAGCCCCCCCCCCCCCTTCAGCCACTGCAGGATAGCTTTTTCCCTCTCGGTATGGTCACAAAGATGGAAGGGGAGATGAGAATGTGAGAAACTGGCAAGGAGCAAAGAGAGAGAGAAGGATGCAAGTGAGAGGAGTGGCCATTAGAGAGCCTTAAAATGAACCGAAGGGCAGTTAGGAGTTTTGCACGGCAATTTTCTTGGAAGGACCAGGGCAGAATCCAGATTTCTGTTCATACTGACTTGGTTGAAACACCTTCGTAAAGTAAGAACCTGAAAAAAATGGGGGCAGGGTATTTGCCGTGCAAGGTAGTGTTGAACCTGAGATGAGTTTATTAATTTCTGTGTTTTGGTGTTCTTAACAGCCGGGGTCCACCACCCCTTCTCTCCCCCTACATCCCGTGAATGAACAGAAAGCCCTGGGGCACTTAACATGCAGGAGCGGTGTGAGAGATATTCTTGTGATTCCTGAGAAGGGCCCCAGTCTTGGTTGGTTTCAGAGGACAGCTGAGTTGGTCTGCAGTAGAGCGGCTGGATCCGAGTCCAGGAGCCCCTGAGAGACCCGCAGGAGTTTCCGGGGCAGGAGCTGTCAAGAGTCACAACGGCATCCTTTGTCAGAGCTTTGACTCTTTATTCCCCCTCCCCTCTCGGCTGAAGACCTCTTTATTTTATTTCCCCCCCAATTTTTATTTTATTATACAAGTACAAATGATTTAAACAAATTTGCATTGACAAGATACCAAAAAAATCAAAACAACACATTAAATAGATAAAAAGATTAAACTGGGGATACGAGCCGATAATGAATATATTGGTTGGTAGTAATCTAAGAGCTTTGACTCTTGAAAGCTTCGGCCCCAAGAATCTTGTTGGTCTCTGAGGCACTGCTGGACTTGAGTCTACCTGTAGCCTTGGGCAGGACTTTGAAAGGATGTGGAGGGAGGCTGATGCTGCAAGTGGGGAGCTAGAAAGCATGAAGGGAATGTAGCATGTGGTGCTTTAGATCCCTGCCAATATGAAAGAGTCAGTTCAGAATTGAGTTCGGCAGATTTTCTGCTTGTTTGCTTGTAGAGCAGCAAGTCCTACAGATCTGTATTGGTACAGACAAATTAATAAGTGAATATTTTTCCTACTGCACAAAGGAAGCCATCATTCTGCATTTTTTACTTTTGCTGCTTTCAGTAAGTTTCCTTGAGGATTTTGACGACTAGTACATTCTCTTGTTCTAGCAAAGAGTGGAAACAAAACCTGAAACACAGTCCCAACCACTTCGTGTGCGTGAACAACGTCCAAGGGAGAGACCAGGGTTTCCTTCAAGGGGGCCTAGACCAGGTAAACCACTTCTTTCAGTGTAAACTCTTTGGTTTTACAAAGAGTTTTTAGCTTTCCTTTAGATTTTCAGGTTGTTCATCTAGTTTGATGATCCACCTTAACCACACTAATGTTAAACCATGAATGTGAAAGCCACTGCTAAAAGCTCTGCGGAAATGACAGAATAAGAACCTCTTCAGAGGTTCTTTGCATGCACTGGGCCCTGCTGCCAACTTTCCCCTACAAAAATGGATGTTCGCCCTGTGTATGTGCGTCATATAAAACTGGCAATTTCAATTTCAATTTATTATGGGTCTATATGACCGAAGTCTTGACTAACAGAGAATGCAAAAGGGGTAAAATAGGTACATAAAATAGACATAAAATATGACAAGTACATAGTCGCAATCAGTAAACATATAAAACCCAGGCATAGCCCAGAGAATTAAAAGAACCTAACTACACTTGGGGCGGAGCCAACTAACTAAAATCCTCCAAAAATTAAAATCGGTACAGGTGTTTGCAGAGATGATAAAGCTTTCAGTGTTTCTTGAGAGCAGCAACCTTAGCCAGGAACCGTGCCACATTAGCTGTTATCAGTCCATCGGCATTTGAATCAGACAACAATACTGAAAGCACCCAAGGTTGCAAGGGAAGATTCATCTTCGTAAGAATAGGAATGATATATATCCCTCTATCTTGAGTCCAATGGGGACAGCGAAACATCAGATGGTCTAAAGTTTCAATTTCGCCAGAGTTGCACAAACAGAGGCGATCTGAGTAAGGTAAGCCTCTAAATCTGCCCAGCGTTACCATCGTTGGAAATGCATTTAAGCGGGCAGGCATAAAGGCGCGACGGTGGGATGGAATTGGTAGCGATGAATGAAAATCCAGAAATCTCTCTGGAGGGGGCAACCCCAGAGCCAAAGGAGAACAGGTGCATCTAGCCCTGGCCACGGTGCTAGCCCAATCCAACTGTTTGAGTTTCTTCAAGGTTTCCTCGAGCTGGGAGAGCAACAGCTCTTCAGCAGGTGAGGAAATTGGAACTCCCAATGTCTTGAGTTTACCCGCAAGAAGGGACAACCAAGGGCTGGATGTCGTGTCCTTTAGGATGAGACGAAGAAAACCGGCCTGGGGGTGATGACTTGGGTCAGATAGCTTAAATCTCAACTTGAATGCCCTTTGCAAAGCACGTGCTTCGAGCGAAGATTGAACCAATTCCATACGAAGGACAGTCCCAGCAACACACCGTGGAGTTCCAGTAATTCTCCTAAGGAAGGCGTTTAACTGGGAATCCAATTTCTCGTCCACGCCAGCAATCCAGATTTCTGCGCCGTATAAAATTTGGGAGACCACCTTC